CCCCAAAACCCCAAAACCCCAAAACCCCAAAACCCCAAAACCCCAGCATTAAGTTACAAATTGAAATTACTTAGTGAACTAACACATACTTTAACTCTATTTGAACGAAAATTCATAATTTATTCAGGTTAGTCAAGCACAAGAGCATTTACTGAAGATCATACCTCTATCAAGCTTTGTAATCAGAACATAAGAATCAATCTATAGGTACTCGGATCAAAGAGAGAAGATTAGGGTTTGAACATGCTCTCTTTGATGAGTCCTATGCATTTGATATTTAAAAATTGAGGCTGAATTAAGCTCTAAAGCCTATATCCAATAGAATGAAGAATGATTTTTAGTATAGCATCGAGACTTGGCTTAGTATAAGAAAAATAGTTGGAAAGCTAAAGAAAGAAGAGAATAATCAATATTCGAATAGGGATTATAAAATATGAGTGAATTTTTTAATAGATCTAAATGTCCTTCAAACTAATTATTATTATGAAATCTCGAAATTCTATACTATCTCAGGAGTGGCTAAACCCCATGATTTCTGTCTCTCAATCATAGATTTCTAAGTTGAGTATTAATAGAAATTTTATAAACCAGTAAATGAATTTCATCTTACAAAAAATGTTGACTCAAACTTGTGTAAATTGCTTCATTACTAGAAATTATTACAGAAGCTCGAACTCAATGGTTAATCCTTGCATAATCTCAGGCTAACTCAACCCCATGAAGGAACTATGCTTTTTCAGGTGTAAATTAGGCCTTGAAATTTTATGAAGAAATAGGAGTCAAAAGAACGAGAGGATTACATGTTTTGATAAATCATCAAAAGATTTATTCAGGTGTATGCACATCATTCATTGTGACAATGTAGCAATCTGTTCTTTCCCCTAGGCGAGGTTCTTGTATCTTCACAGGTAATGATTTATACCTAGTCCTTAACCGTATCTTCTCCTCTTTCTTCTGGCTAATTATTCTTTGCAAAAGTCCTCTGATCTCTGATTTTAGTGGTGAATGACTCGTGACTTGGCTCTCTTTTGAGGTTCCAAATTTTTTATATTTACTTTCAAAATGCAGACTTTTTAAACTGGTAAACCTTGGACCCATTCTTCACACTCGTTGGGCTATTCACCAAGCTGAGTCAAAGATCCTGCTTTGTCAGTAACTTGTTACTGAGGGGGGATTTGCTGCTAAGAGCTCATACCCTAGGCGCTCTGATGGAAGACTCTGAGAGGACCTCTTCGCTAATGTCACAGTCTTCCAGCTCATCGCTACACTTTGTCAATGGTAGCAATGGGAATTCCTTTCTCTCAAGTTTGCTATTGGAATACATTTTTCTATAATTATTATTAATATCTCAATACCGTATTTATATACTGGGGTTTTGGGGTTTTGGGGTTTTGGGG